GAGTATAGGCTATGCTTGGCTGAATCTTTTTCATGTCAATATTTTTTAGAATTATGTAAAAAAACTGACAGTAATTTCTTTTTACCATATTGTGCTTTAGCCTTTGATCATTCTTGCGTTCCGTTATATAAAACAAAAGAGTGAGATAATTTTAGCATTATGATAATTTAGCATTTACTAAAAAGTATTATGTCATTTTTAGAAAAAGAATCATTTATTTCTCCTTGTCAGAAGCTATAAGGAAAAATCAGAATTCTAATTGATTAACATATTCATTAGGTGGGGTTTTTATTAAAATATTCTAGCACGATTTGGAACATATAGCAATTTGGTTAGCATGCATTAAAAAATGGTTTATGCTTGCATCAATACTACTACATCTGCAGGTGTTGCTATTGCACGATTGCCATTTTCAGCGACTATTTTCTCTTTTCCGTTTTACTAGAGACAAAAAAAAATGTTAACTCATTCATCCAATTGATTCAGATGTTGAATCAAAAATTGCAAGGGGTTGAGTAAACAGATTGATTAATGGTGATGTAAAATGGGTCTTTCATTAACTACCCCTATTCAGTGCTGTTAATTTTCTCATCATCAGAGTTGCAATAAAACAAACTTTTCACATAGGGATCCACTTTTTAGCAGAGCTGCTGTATTTACTAGCTGCTGTATTTACTCATATTGTCACTGTGATTGACGAAGACATTTCAGTTGTTGCAACAGACTTTCCAGCAAATTGACATGTAATGAATGATTAATGCTTAATAATTTCATCATCAAATAGTCATTAATACTATTGGTGAGTTTTTCAAGCATTTTAATCTTCATGAGATAGCAAATAAATTAAATCCTCCCCTAATCAAGTTTATTTTATAAACTATATTATTTGTAAGATTTTAGAGTAAAATGGAAGTTTTTGGAAACGTTGTTTTCCGAAATGTATATAACAAAATGTGTAGCTACTGATGTTATCAGTTCATCTCACTCCATTAATAATTAGCTGGTAAGATTCCATTTCCTATTAAATATGTTGAATGAGAAGATGTTTATAGTGATGTTTTTAATAATATCTAATTAACATTATGAATAAAATTTTAACACAAAAATAAATTCTCTCGAAAAAATCATTTATTTTAAGAAATTATGTTTCTAGAACATCGAGATATAATTATGTTTTATAAACATCACCTCTCAATAACTATTCATGGCGAACTTTCAAAGCTTACTGCCTCATGAAATTTGGCTGGTCTTAGTTCATTGAAAAGTGATTTTCTGTAAACAGAACAATGAAAATAAATGCACAATGCACGATGCATGATGCATGATTGACATGACATGATATGACATGGGAAGGATAATCCATGTCGACTGGCTATCTCTATCATCCATACTTCACGATACTGCGGGCGTTTGCTAATTCCATGCAATCCTAACACAGCTGTCTCTTTCCTAACATTCCTGAAGGCATCATTTTGCCACTCACTAGTACTTTTCGCGACACATTTCTATTTTCCTCAACAGAAAATCACTTTTCATTTTCGGCCCTTTTTCGGTCCACCAGTCATCCAGAAATTTTTTAGGCGGAAACATCACGCCAACGTTTTACCAATATATCGTCCCTTTATCTAATCTATTTTCATGCAAATTTCTTCATACTATTACAAATAATTAATTGGTCGTTCTCACCCTTTTTGTAATTTCAGGTAATTTGTTCTACCTCTCTATTACTTATCTCTATATCTTTCTCATCTATTAATTTAGCTATCCGATTTAGACTAATTTCCAATGCATGTTTTAAATGTATGTTAAATTGCCAGCAACTGCAATTGAAGATTCTTAAAATTTATGCTCTTTAAATATGAGAAGTCATTATCCAATAAAAAATATTATAATCAATTAATTCTCTTCTGTTTTTATTCTTTTTGTCGCCAAAAGAATCGTTTGAACATTGCCGCAAGAATGGTAATCGTATATATGTAGATGTTGTATGTATGTATGTATGTGTCTACCTGCCTCTTCTTATTTGGACAGTGTCTATGCATGACTAAAATGATAGTATCGATGGCGGTGGCGGCATAAAAATGCCACGCAACATTTTCGACCTTTGGTTTTAAGATATTTGGCATCTTACATACGATTTAAACGAGTATCACACTGGCAGCAATCAGTATTTCGCCATTAGAAATGGACATGGGCGCATGCACAGAGTATACCTAATATATATATATATATATATATATATATACACACACACTCTGTACACAGACTCAAAAATGGCCAATTCTTGATTAAAATATAGCAATAGGATTCTTTTTTGATCCCAATTCCATTATGCTGCATTTATTGCTGTGTACATCGCATGGCAACATTTATTAACAAATCTGGCGAATATTTCGGTTCTCTGCCGAATATCGCGTTTTTGAGTATTTTTTGTTTCTCCGGCTTTCTTATAGCTTTTCTGGCGCTTATCGCAAAAAGACTTCAAGAAGGTAGCATCAGTCGGCCCTTATGCCGTTTTGGTATGAGGACGGCGTAGCAATATTTTTTCGTTGCGCGATAAATTGAAAAATTAGAAGCGAAAGATTGATTCATAAAAACACGATTGTGTAAACTTAACGGCTTAATACATTTGCAAATTAAACTTTGTAATGATTGGAAATTTTTTCTTCTTTGGTTTCAGCTCGGCTTTGGAGAGGAAATCTTCAGCTTATATCGTTTCCCAAATTAATATAGCATTTTTCTAAGGAATTTCCTAAGATACGATTTGTTTGACAAATCGTCAAAATAATTGATGAACGATCAACTTTCAATTCATTATTCAACTTATTCATTAAAGTCATTCCTTTGTTTGACAAAGGAATTTTTATTTCTGTTGTATTAAATTTGCTAAAAATTTTCCATAATTCAATCATTTATAGGTTGTGTTCTGTAAAAAGGATCTTATTCAATGACTTATTGCTAATATATCAGCGTATTACAAAAACGATTTGAAATTAAAAGGTGATTTTTATCTCTCTTCTATAATTCTTCTATTCCTACTCCTCTTACCTTCTATAAATTTATCACTTTGACCCACAAGTGCCTTTATTCGAACTGTTTTTCGTATCATTTATTAGTTTGCCTATTCATAAGGTAAACAATTATAAATGACTGAGCAGACAAGACGACTTCTTCCAATTATTCATAAAAAAGTTCTTCCTTAAGCTATAAAGTTTCATTTCAATTATCAACTGCTTCATTTTTCTACACAAAAATATGGGAATTGAGGATAGAAAGAGTAAGTATATCTATGAGTAAGCTATATGAGGAAGCATACCTGGGGACATGTCGGTGTGTTCCACTAAGGCATTTCATGAGCGCTGAGTATTTGAAGATATAATTGTACCGCAAGGTTTACACATGAGTGCATGAGAAGGAAACCATGGCTGGGCGGGGCTGCTCGAAAGACACATTTGTTGGACTGCCGGATGTTGTTCCATTCGCGGTGGCGATCATCTCCATTCGGACATCACTTCTACCAAAATGACTGATGGCTAATCCGATATCTTTAATTCCCTATCATTTGGCAGCTAGCTGATGGGAGAATAACTTGCCTTGCTTTTTTTCTTCTGAACTATTCGTTTGTTGCCAAGATTACGTGATACCCTTACTTATTTGCCTTTATTTAGTTCCATGTTGACGTACTTCCAGCAATTGGTATAATGCTTTTTTTTTAAATCCATATTCAATCCTGATTTGGATCACCAATGTAATTAAAACATAATCAAAATCCCAAGTGATTCTTTGTCATATTTTCATTGAGCAGATACTTACGCCGTATTTATTCATTCATTTATTTATCTGTGTCACAATTCTATAATTTTACCTTTCGAAATATTCCTATTTAAAGTTTACTAATTTCATTAAGCATAATAAACGACATATTCCCACTAGTTTATTTAAATTGGAAAAATTGATTTAGATGAGATGGCGAATTGTTAAAAGCAGTACAGTTGTAACATAATTAATACAGTTAGAGGAGGTGAAAGGAATTCATTTTTGCTGTCGTCCCATGCAGCAAAATTGAGACTTTCCGCTGTTGACAGTTGAATAAATTTTTAAATTACGAAAACCAAACTTTTATTTTAATGAAAATGATCATTTTTTATTTATGGCTAAAGATAAAATGGTTTTCCAAATTCCTGAAATTGTTTTAAAATAAACAGCTGAAGAGAATGAATGAACAACTAAGGCACCTTTTCAATAGTTCCTTTGTGTACATTTTGTAAGAGATTGGTGAAAACAAAATTTGTGCTTAATTGTACCCGTTCTTTCCCTCATTCATCTGTCAGCTTCGCATTGCTTTCATGCTGGTGGCCATGTTTTCCCGGCCCATTCAAGCTTTAAGCCTAGGCACTGTGGAATGGCTGTTAGTTATCGACTTTTTGCTTCAAGTAGAGCAGTGTTGAAGATGTCGTTCCCTTTTTTGTCTTCTACATATATGTGTCGCTATCAGTAGTATTTTGAAATTAAATCAGTGACGAAGTCAAGAAATAATTTTCAAAATTTCTCTGTCAGCCGATTGCAGCGAAACAGGTAAACCTGCTGGCATTATTATTCTTCCAGGCGGCAGTCTTTATTCCATATAGTTTTATTCATCCATTGCTAAAAAACTATGAAAAATGTAGAGATTGGCAATTCGTCTGTTAGGAGGAATTCTGTAACACTTATGCAATGTTAATAAGCAATAATTTGTTTCAAGCAGTACGCTATATTCAATTCATTAAGGTTTAAATTTTAAAATTCGATTTCGAATGCTTCATACGAATAGGCATATAAGCAAAAAATTCCTTATCCTTAAATCTATACCACTTTTTGTAAATATATTTTTGGTTACTTGTTGCTTTTTAAGAAAATATCGTTTTGAATATTGAAAATGTTGTTACACGTAAATATTAAATATTTCGACATTGAATATATCGAAAAAAGAAGAGTTTTGTCTTAGGTGATAGACGAATGTGATGGCTTACAACATTACCAGTCTTATCTTTTTGACGTCTCTAATAATTTTGGATTGTGCACGAGCTATCATAACAACGGAAGGACGTAGTTTCATTGTCGATGAAGGTGACAGCGTCGAATTACCCTGCAATATACGTAATATTGGTATGCTTATGTTTATTATGGAAATGAAACAGTAATCTTGTACGGAAGGAATAAAATAAAATTCTCATCAATAAGAAAATGGTGGTAAGATTAACTCAACACAAACTTTAGAACTCTGCTCTTGTATCAGGCATTAAATTTGCTCAAAAAATTTGCTACCTGTAATAATCTACAGGGGAAGATACAGTGGTGATATGGAAACGAGGAGAGCTAGTATTATTCACCGATGAGGAAGTCTTTTATGAGGATCAACGATTCCAGTTACGCAGGAAAGATAATGTTAGTTTTTACTTCCTAAAGTCAATTGCGAATTATTCGCAGTTTTTTTTAAATATTTAGATTTCATCTTTATAAATTGCTTCTATAAGGCTGAAATTTGAAGACATCCTTCTTCGTTCTCTTATGTTTTCTTAAGTCATTAACAGCTTGATCGAAAAATAATTTAACATGACTTGTACTGAAATTATAATCAGTTATGATTGGATGCTGATACTATCCCATCGTATTGTTTCGATGGAAATAAATGGAGTGTCGTTAGAAATTCTTATGGGAGTTTTCCAAATGTCATCAATTTCTGCTTGTTAATTAAATGAAACCGTCTTCGTAAATTTTCTGGAATTACGAAGTTTTTGTAGTAAGAGAAAATGGAAGACTCCGTTCATAATTTATCCAAATACACATGATATTATCAACAATACAATTGTGGAGAAATTAAAGTTTCTGTGGATAAAAGCAGTTATCAGAAACACTTTTTTCATGTTACAGTGCATTATTAGCACGTAACTGACCATCAGATTTTAACTTCGTTGAACTATAATTTGATGACGCTAATGAGAAATTAAATTGTACTTATTCAATTATTCCTTCTTCCTTTATGTTATGTATTACTGCTAAAGTATTGTTGGTTTCCAACATCACTAATATTCTTTTTAAATGCACAATTTCGGAATTTATATTCTTGCAAATTTTTAGTTGCTATCTCTTCGATGTTACTTCAAATATTAATATTTCGTCGTATATCTCAGGTTATGTCCTTTCATGTCGATATTTAAAGGATTTTCATATACCGCTGATCTTTGATTCTTTTCAAAGATATCCTGTACAATGGATTCCCTTTTAAATTTTACATAAGTAGTGACAGAAACCATCCTGCTATATCTTTCATTCTCAGTTTTCTACAAAGTCATTTCTAAATAATAGAAGTAGCAATGAAATATTTGGAAAAGATACATGCAATTTTTTTCTTTAGTTTTTAAGATTTAAAAACAGCAGTCATTATTTCCATGAATCAACGAATTTATCAAAAATATAGTTTTCAAATCTTTCACTGATACAAGTAAACCCACTAAAATGTATTTTGATATTTCTGTGAATAATTTTGCAGAATTTTACATTGGTTATCGAAAGAGTAGAACCATACGATGGCGCAAAATATGTTTGCGAAATAACATCACCCGAAATGTCAATAACGCATACATTGGAAGTGAACGGTGTGATTTTCATTCTTGTTGATTTCTTGCAGTTGCAGCTGAGCAAACATGAAAGCATTAAAAGCTCGTGTTTGTAGTAGAAGAAATATTTCATAGCAAGTATTTATAAGTAATAGAAAGTATTTATAAGTAGAAAGTCAAGTAGAAAGTATTTATATGCGTCAAGTAGAAAGTATTTATAAGCAAATCATGAAATTGAAATGCGAAGAATGATATTAATAAATTTCGCCGTTTCAAATTAGAATTTGGAATTTGCAGATTTATTGAGCTATCGGAGCTATTCTAGTAAAATAACGGAATAATGCTTGTCAATTAAAAGTGGTACAACCATTGTTTTCATGCTTACTTCGAATTTCTTTTTTTGAGCTAAGGGTTTTAGTACATCCTATGGTTTCTATATCGCCGGATACAAATCCACTACTGGTGAATGTTGGCGAGAATATGGTCATCAAATGCTCAGTATCTGGTAATCCCCCACCAAAAGTTACATGGACCCGACAGGTTGTTTATAGTTTTGTTTTCAAACATTCAAAATTATGGTTCTATTTCCCGTTAATCTTTGGATTGAATTGAATGATTCTGAATGATTAAACTTAAAACCATTAATGGAATGGATCATAGACAGTTCTTTTCCCAGAGTTCATCTCTAAACTCTACAATGTTTTTGCAGACTGTTTTATTAACTTTGACCAATATTTGATTCATTTATAGGGTGGTCCAAAAATGCCAGCAAGAGCTACATCAAAAGATGGACAGCTGAGGATAACTCGTGTGACGATGGATGATAGCGGCGTGTATGAATGTACAGCATCAAATAATGTCGGCGTCGATGCGCATGATACCATCGAAGTTCGAGTGCAAGGTAATTATTTTTCATCTCTTCATTTCAAAATTCCAGATCGAGTTTTACATCCATATGACAATGAAGTTAGCAAATCTTCGATATATTCCAGAAATCTTGAATTAGAAATTAATGCATTCCAATGTTTAGAGCTGGGTGGTTAGACCTATGACTTGATTTCATCTCCTAACTTAAGCTTTTTCAAGTAAAATTTTACTGAAGTTATATGTTAAGTTTCAAAATTCATGGAATTCTCAATGAACTCATAAAATTTGTTGGTTTTGCACAAGGTGCACTGTCGTCTGTTCACGAGTAATTTTGGCATAAATTTCGGATTTAGTGATAATTACTATCCGAATGCGTGTTTTGCGATACGTATGTGGATATATGATACAATCTTTGAAAGTTTAATTGTCTGTAAAATTGCATGAATTAGGTATGGAACCTATCCATGCCGTCTAGTATCCATCCTTATGTGTTCAGTGAACTGAAAATACGACAGGAAATATAACTCCTTCCATACCGCTACTGATATCATCCTAAGGAAATAAATGACCTGATTGAAACGAATTATAATTTGTTCTGTAGGAAAGGATGATTCAATTTTAAAAGTAGATGTATGCGGGCAAAACTTTTAAAAGCAATTTGAGTAATACAAAGAAGTTTGAATAATAGTTAGCCTAGAAATAATCTAAAGTGCACTTATTACGGAAACATTTGCCCTACACATCCATCACTTATTTAAAAGTCTCTGATATAGATGATTTTAAGTGTTTGAAGAGTAGCTATTCATTTTCCTTAAACTATCCTCTAAACAGACACTGCTAGCCATTTCAAAATATAAGTGATACAGAAACAGGGAATTATCGCCTGGCGATCAGGACACACGCATGCTGGACAGTTTTATATCGTATGGTTTCTCGCATACCTGAAGAATGACTTCTTATCTGGGCATTACCAAGTAAATCCAGATTTCAACTTTTTTTTTTGTTTTTCAAAAGCAGAAAGTGAGCACATCCAGAAAATTTGTGAATTGGCTGAAAGTCAGCCTAGAAAGTATTCCTTGCATAAATTTCGCATAAACTTCATCAGAAACAGTGGGAAATATGGTCTCTTCATCAGACGCATTCATCTACTGATATATTTTATCCAAAAAAAATACTTTTTTCCAGAAAATCTTTAAAAAGTGACCCTAAGAACAATCAATCCGCTATTTGAATCGTTAGAAGAAATGCAACTGTCGACATAGTGACCATTAGCATTTGAACTATAGTGACTAAGTGATAGTGATTAGAACTCTCCTAAAGAAGTGATCACCACAGTAAGTCGCTAAATTCGTTCAGGTCATCATAGTTCAAATTTAACTTTACAAGTAATGAAGGAAGTACTCTTAAATTTTCTTTTTTTATTCCGATGAACTTATTACCAAATAATTGCATTTTATTTTTACATTTTCTGTAATTGCATTTTATCTCATTTTTACATTTTTACGTCCAATAAGAGAAATTATAAATATGAATAAAAGTAAGTTCGTTTGATTGAGTGCTGCAAAAATAAGCACATTATCTGCTATAAAATTCAATTGAAGTTCAAAAACTGGGTTGCGCTTAGTTAATCTTTAATGGGTGACATTTTATAACTGGCATGGTGTGATTTGAACGAGAAAATAAATGTCCACTATTAATATTCAGTTTCAAGAAATGGTATTTTTTTAATTTAAGAATTTGTTTTTCAAAAGATTTCGCATTGCTGGATTTACTTTAGAAGAAAGCCGGCATTTTAAAAAAATGTAAGAAGTTTCGACCGTTTTAAATATCAATTTCATAGCCACTTTGAAATTAATCAATTGATTTTATTATCTATTTCAGCGGATCAGTACGGAGCGCATGAGCCGTGTGAGTTTGCATACATTTTTTTTTCTTTATTTTTAACTAATACTTGCATGCTTTTGTCCATTTACTCGGTTTGCTAGTGCAGAATCGGACAACTTTACTAGCAAATTTGTTTATCGATTTATTTTAAATTATTTCCTCGCGTTGTTCTCGAAAAGCTAATATTGTCTCTAACTTGTGATAGATAATGATGAGAATATTCCAATCATTCCTGGATAAGCTGGCGAAAATATGTTCATAATTAAAAATTTTAGGTGAATTATATTATTTCATAACATGGTCATTTGCGCTGTTGTGACCATTACTGATTATATCCGATTACCAAAACATCTTAAGTAAGATTTTTTAGGAACTGAAATTTGAGTTTTCTACTATTTGCGGAAAAGATTTAAAGTTTTCTTGCTTGTGTGATGATTACTATAATTGGGATTTTTTTGTCTTTTACTAATATCAAAGTAAGAGGTCAACCGCCGACGCTACCGATTGTGTATTTTTCTGTATAGCTTTGTCTTTTTCCCTTTGTTTCCATTTCTAATAATAAGCAATCAACAGTCTCTTCAAGATGACAAACAGATGGATTCGTGTAGACCGGTGACCACTCACTTCACTCATCTTCCATCCTATTTCTACTGGCCATTCATTTGTTAAAGTCGGCACATTCTTTTTTAAAAGCTTGTTAATAGTAATTGATCCTCAAATAAAAAACAAGTTAATTGGTTACTTTAATTGTATTTTTATTTCACATACAGCAAATGCTTTTTTTCGGTAAAAAATTTTATGACAAGGACAAGGTTAATTTGTCGCATCAATTCCATGACTGGGTTACTTCCTTCTTAAAAATTTCAGGCTCTTAATAGTCAATTAATTTATTTATAGTTGATCATATTATTTTTACAGACGTCATTTTATCTACCCTCAATCTGTCACATTCTGTACAAAGATATGTTTTCATATCAGCACTTTGTTAATGTTGAGATCCACAAGAGAGATCCAAAACAATGAAAATCCATGACCCGCTTATGATTTATCCTAAACGTGATCACGGTATGCCCTCACATTTATCCGTAATTTCAGCTTCCCGTTGCCACGTGTAGTTTATATGTCATTTTATACTAGAATTAAGGGAACTACTTTTGTAATATAGTAAATACTATTGGTGAGTTTGATGATGAATGAATGCCTTAATTATAAATTTCTTCTTTAATACTTTACGCTGCAAGATCCTCAATTTATTTCCAAAACTCCGCAAAAATTTAAAATTGCTTGTATCATTATGACTTCTTTTTTCACTATACCAATATACTTTAAAACTTCAACTACCAATGCTTTTTTTGAATGTCTTTTTCTCAATTAAACATATTCCTACCAGAAATTCTTTATCCATCTCTCTTTTCCACCCATCAAATGCTTTTCGTGGATTAATTTGAAATCTGAACATTTATTATTAATTTCTTTTCCACATAAAATAGTACATTTTGAAATTTAAACTGTGAAATTTAATATTGAGCCAGCTCCATGAATATATCATGTCATCAAAACTATCTGTTTCTTCTTTCTTGTAAGTTCCAAATTTTCTCACTCTGGTATTTGTTAGTTCTTAAATAAAAATTACGGAAAAAATAGTCGATTTAATAGAATAAATTTTGTATTTTTAGCAGCACCATGGGTCGATTCAGTATATTCATACATACCGGTAAGACTAGGTCAAGATATCAATCTAACCTGTAAATATAACGCCAAACCATCACCCCAAGTTGATTGGATTTACAATGGATTCACAATCAACGTTAGTCTTTCAATTTTTTTAAAACATGTCATTTCGTGTGCTACTCATGAGTTATAATATAGTTATAACGATTTTTTTCTTGTTAAGATGCGTTTGTTGCGAGTTTAATAGAGGACGGATGACATGGATGGGTCATTTGTGTCACAAGACACTAAAATCGATAACCTTTCTGTTGCTTCAAGTTTCTTACTATCATGTTGCATTTTTTTTGAACAAAAACTAAAAAAGGCATCTCTTAAATTTTCAGCGTACTTAATTTTCCCTCTTATTAGGATTGAAAGGACATTGTTAATAATGATAAGAAATATTACACAGTACTTATCCTTATCAATTAATAGCAGAATAGCAAATAAACTTAAAAATCGTTGTGCAACACTCACTGACACAATTTTAAAAGCTTTGGCAGTAATTTTTCTCAAATTGCCGTTATCAGAGCTATGTCATAAGGCATTTGATAATACTGAGGATGACGTGGATCATTAATGACATGACACGGCATCTCTTCGTTATTCTTTATCCTTTGCAATGAGCAAATGCAGAGGATAGACGATAACTCATACCGCCCAAGCAGATGTCGCCTTTTCCTTCTTTTCTTGATGTCATGCATGCGTTCATGCGTGCGTCATTTGGAGGGTACACAGAATGAGTAAGATTAGATTTCGAATGAGCCGTAAGCAGATTAAATAGCTCTTATTACCGCCACTGCTGCACCCCAAAGGGAAGGTAGCAGAATAGTGCCATCAAATTACATCACCAGAATTAGTCCATATCTAGTCATCAGTACATCTGCGCCATAGATATGAACAGAGTAAGGATGAGACAAGTGCTTTTAACAAGTTGAAATTATTAAAAATTGATGAAGTGCTAGAAAAGATGATGACCTTGTGCCGTTATAAATACTACACATATATTTATTTTTTCATATGTTGATTGAAAAATTCATTGTTGTTAAAAGGATAAGAAGATAAAGTGAAGGAGCAGATGTGTTTGTGATGGGTTTGATGTGTTGGTGTTTGGGGACTGTCCATTACTACAGTGTATTTGCGCCCATTTCCTGAGATGAAAATGACGAGCAGATGAGCTAGTTGACTTTTCTTCTCATCATTGACATCCAAAGTTCAAATCATTTGAACATGCAAGCTGGATATCAGCCGCATTGGATTAGATTCCAGACATGGTGATAGTTATTACCAAGAGTACATCCCTGTCAAGTGTATTAGAAAAATATCAAGTATACAAAGCAAAGTCATGTAGTCATTGTAATTAATGATTAGGAACAATTAACAATTAAGAAAAGATTAGGAGAGAAGAAATAGCAGTTTTAACGTAAGATCGATGGCAGGTGTATTGTTTTCTTCGCTGTTCATATATTCAAATCTCAATGAAGTTGCGTGTTATTGCTCGTAATACTAATTATTTCAAGAAATAGTGGGCAAACGCTTAACTTTAATTTTCTTTAATTTTTGGCTTTTTTTCCTGTTTCGAAGTTGCAGCTGATTTTTACAGTTTTCGGATGATCGATTCAAAGGTTTAATGCAGTATGCTGCCAGACGTGATAACTACAGTGAATCTATCCTAGCAATCGAAAATATCAAAGAAGATAATTTTGGTGATTACACATGTCGTGTAGCAAATAATCTTGGAATAAAAGAGAAGACTATTTATGTCAGCGGTTGGTTGCTTTCAAATGTAATTCGTTAAAATTTATCTAGACATTTTGCCGACTGATTTTTTTTGGAATTCCGATGTTTAGAAGATAGATAATTTGAGTCCTTAAGCTTACGAATAACCTGTTTAAAATTTGAGCATAAATAAATCTTTCTCTTAAACCAAACGAGCCAATGAGAATATTGACGTATAGCCTAAAATATGACGGTTCATTAAAATGTTATGAAAAAAAAATGATTTATTGGTCTATAAAATGAGTGCAAGAATAATAAAAATCACTCCACGTGGTAATTATTTATTATACAGGTGAGCAATTAGATATTTAGACCATGCAACAGCAGATGCAAATGGTGCAACATAGTTTTGAGAATGATTATAGCCAAAAAATAAAATAATTCCTTTTTTCTCAATTAAAGCAGAGCAGCCTTTATTTTAATATATAAAAAAATTTTTTACTGTGCTATTCATCTACCGGTATGTTTAAAATATGTCGGGAAGGTAGCATTTTAAATTTGAAGTTGAAATATTTGAATTGTATCATCTTATAGGTCGACCAGGACCACCTCATTTAAATACAAGTGGAACTCTACTTTCTTGGAGTGTACATTCAGTGGATCCAGTCATCGAATATCAAATCTTATATCGATTCTCCAATGATGATACATGGCAGCAATTTAAATCTATAAGGGCAAATAAAGGTTGTCTATTTAAAATTTTCAGACTTGTACTGTCAATGCAACCAACCGAAACCTACATCCCTCTTCTCCCAGCAATCTGATTTAAAAATTTCGAAATTTTAATTCCTTTTCTACTTTCTTCATTGAACAATATGTGATTTGGAAAAAAATAAAGTTATTTCAACGCAGTTTTGTCACTGAAATATTACTTAAATTAAAATGAAAAGTGATAAATTTTCAAGACTTCCCAACTTGTCAAGTATGACTTAACAATTCAGAGGAGCAAGATGGTAATGTTTGGAGCCGAAGCGAAGATTTGGTTTGGTTACGGCCTGGTTTAGAATATGAATTACAAATGAAAGCACGAAATGCACTAGGATGGGGCTCATTGGCTCGATCTTACGTTACAATGAAAACACCGTTCTTTGACAACGTGACCAATGATAGTAAGTATTTCGTTTCAACTGGTGAACAATTTCGGGATTCATTCTGATTTCTTCAGATTAAATTCATTTTGTGCATGAAGTCTTAATTTTTAACTCTGTAAGTGTTTAGTCTGGTATTAAGCGCCAAATGCAGTAGCATTTTTGGGTAGACTCAGAAAATAACTATTTGTTAGTTGAACTTCCATGTCTGGTTCATTTAACCCTATAGATGAAAGCTGTAATGGTCATCTCATTTTACTCCAAACTTCTCTAGTTACGTTCCATTATGTGTTGACATTAAGCAGTCGTTATTCCTTACACTACTAGGATAATCTTATATTTTTTAAGATGAGCTTCTTGAATTTTGCACTAAGTTTTACACTCCACTTAAAGTTTAAACAAAAAACGGTTTTCTTGTTATTCACTTACAGCTAAATCTTCCAACGATGAATCATTCAATTTATAATTAATCACACTTTCAGAAAAAGTGAACTCAGTAAAGCAAATATATGCGTCACGATCATCATGTTTGTCCATCGTTTCATTCATTGCCGTATCGATTTTCCTGTTATGATTTTCGCTTTATTCATTGATATACAAAAAATCAGTATTTTGATTGTTTCATTACTTCCAGCATCGTATTAATCGCTGATACTAATTTACTGGTCAACGATTTGTGAGTTTACATAGATTTTTTCTTATTAATTGCAATAAAGATAATGTTGAATTTGATGGAAATTTCCCGTTTTCTTTGAGAAGTTTTTAATTTCGAGAGTTAGCTCTTATGGTGGTTTTAAAAATTAACCCGAAAATAACTGATTTTTGTGTGGTGGCTGAAGCAGACCATGAGGTTTAATATTTAGGATTTTACTGTTTCTTGTTTGTCCTGTTAACACTTTTCTAAACATAAATACACAAAATATATGTATGGAAATGAAGTCTGTATACTTGCTGATTCAGTGTTACTGGCCGGCTTTCTTTGTCCAATTGGCTAAATCTTTCTCCACATTTCTTGTTTATTATGAATTATGTTTCTCTTTGTGCAACTTCCATTATATTTAATATTGATTTCAACTTGATCATTACTGTTTGAATCTTTAGATCTGTTTGAGATATTACATTCACTAAGCGGTATTACATTTACCCAATTTAGAATTTAATCTTTCGGAATTACTTTCTTTACTGCCTGTAAAATATTTTTCGGAATTTAATTTTTTTCCGAAGATTTTTTTTTCGATGTAATGTCGTACCTATCAAATTGATGAATGATAACATGATTTATCATTTCCATTCGCTACATGATCACATTGTTAGCGAAAGGGACTACCCATAGTCAGAATTCTGAGATAGCTTTTAATTATCTATCTGATAAATATCAAACCTGAATATTGTCTTTTTTCATACTTAATTTTGTTAAATCTCTCGATGGCGTCTATTGCCACTTAATAAGGCGCGTTATAGTTTTAAGATATTTTTTTTTTTTAATTATCCCCCCCCCCTTATTTCCTATTTCACTATATATAGGCCTTATTTCCTATTTCACTATATTACTGGTGCGTTATCCTTTTTTTACATTATTTAAAAATCTTTAAGCAGAACATTGGTTCATAGTTTTCTTTTTTCTAACAGATTTTGTAATAGAAAGGAATTCAGCAAACAAAGAGACGAAGGAATATTATTTATTTATAATAATATACACCAGTTAGAAATGATTAAATAAGTGTGAAAAAACTTGGTGCAAGCAGTCCACATTTAGGTTAGCAAAAAAATTTCAGATTTTGGAGGCTGCTGTTAAAAATTTATGAGTGCTTCTTTCAGCATGTTTTACTGATCTATTTAAGCAGGCTAATTTTTTTCAATAAAATTGTCAGCTGTTATCTAGAATTAAGTGATTGATTGTATTGATTGTATGACAAATGCTATATGAATTACCTACAAAATGACGCATTTCGATTTGCCTAAATATTCCATCTCAATATGCTGGTTATACTAAAATATATCTCGTGATATTTTTCTCAAGACTGTTATATGTATTTATTGTGAAATGCCCAATGTTTGAACATTTATTTTCTGTTGTTGTGCTTCCAAAAAAACTTTGAAATTACTGATTGTTATCTTTACCGTATTTATGTGAAAAGCGGTTGTAGTAAGAAGTCTCATTTCTGCAAGTTCTCTCTGTTGTCTGACTGTCAGTTCTCTCGTTGAACGAACATCCGATGAAGTACCTAGGATTTCATTTGAGGAGTTACAAGTTTGAAAATTCCATTAAAAACACTTCACAACCGTCGACTAACTGGAACGATTGCGGTAAACTTTGACATATTTTGAAATTTTCATGAGTCAGTTTTTATATCAAATGCTTGAGATAAGTTTTTATATCAAATGCTTTGGACAAAAGCCATTTGTAACGTTAATTGATTGGTTAAAAATCAATGTAAAATAAATTGTTCCACTATTATTTCTACTCCTTCTCAGTTGAAAAATCAATAAAGATTTGTTTAGGTGTAATTGCTTGAAAGGCTTGACTAACAACACATTCATAGCTTTACATTATAAAACGAGTCCAGTATGTCCCATTTTTAAGAGCAATAATAAAAACCAGCTATATTCATTTTAAGGTCAAAAGTCAAAGTGGAGTGTTATGTCGTAATTCGGAAGTCTTCCAGCTGCATTGTTATATACCATTTAGAATCACAAGTGTATGTTGAACTTTGCTATATCAAGCGTGATCTCTTCAACAATGACTGAATAAAAAAAGCAATGATACCTGAGAACTGTCAATAAGGCTTATTATTTGGTATTAACCTCTAATTTTAATTACAAAAAGGAATACGCTGGTTCTGCTTCTGGCTTTCAACTATTCGAGATCTCCGAGTCTGAGAGTTCATAACTTTTCGGTGATCCATAACCTTATAATAGCCGTAAAGATGTTAGATCAATTAGTAAATCAGTGAGTTAATGTGAAATTTCTTATTCTTCGCAAAATAGTAGTAAAAAGTTCACTTAGACATTTTGTCGTGTTTTTTCTAAAAATTGATTCTTCTCAACTTCATTATTACGAACAACAGACTGCATAAAATTATTCTGTAGATTATCACAATCCAAAAAAAAATCGATTTATAATATTTGACATGAAAGCAATAGGAGTTAATGGCTTGCAATTAATCCAATCAACTTGATGCATCCAATTACCAATTATCCTGAAATACATAATATAAAGCCAAAGCTCCTGCGGATGTGATGTGATCCAAAATGATCTTCGAACAAATTTTGGGAAAAAACTAGCTCAGAAAATTTGTGTATGTATCCCTCATTTTTGAAGAGCTGAATGAGCTCATTTCGGTAGTTAGCATTGAAGTGCGCCAAGTCACGAGTCATTGCAACCAGCGGAAATTTCGCCCAATTAGTAATTACGATATACTCATATTGTCCACTTTTAGCATTTTTTGGTCCTGTTATTACAACTTGATCTGAAATTTAGCGTTCAAACTAAATAACTAATTTGATAAGAATACTTCGCGGTTCATCGTCAAGCGCCTCTAAAAGTTACATACATCAAGAATTGATTATACAGAGATATTTAATCAATACTCATTCTTCTTTATAACTATCAATTTTTCTGAAGTTCTATGTGCTGTTTGGGCATTAATGAATAGCGGTGCGTGCGCTGCGCTGTATTTCATCATAGTACGAGTTCTCTTATGTTAAGTTTTCCTTAATATTCTTAATTTAGAAATTAGCCCAATTTGAATACAATGATATTAACGTGTAGTGAAAATAACTAATGAAATTTATTCGAAAAAATCGTAAATATCTCTGAAGTATGAAGAACTAACAAGGACATGGATCTTCTTGAACATAAATGTAAACTTTTTTGTTGTGTATGACACCGTACCCAAAGCCTACTTTAGAAGCACCATGGGGACTATTAACACGGAATAAATCCATCGTTGAAAAAGCTGATATATTTCCCACTTTTGCCAGATTTTTAACTGCAACTGTTACTTTTTTCAATGAAAATCATAACGCGAAAACAATAACGGACCAATAAAAGATGGAGGAGGGTTGCTTTGAATAGTCTTACATTTTTAAATTTTAGATTTATGCTAATATTTTAGCGAGAAGAAAACAAAGAAATAGAAACTAACACTCAGTGGTAGGACAGTAACGATCATGCACTCCAGCTGTAGAAATTACCTGCAAAAAATGATAACCAGTAATCCAATCAGTTATATGTGTAAGATAAGAGTAATAAACAGCAAGTGTATAGCTTATCACAGTCGTCTTGCACATGTTGACTGAATAACTATCACTGGTTATATATATATATATATAACCAGTTGTTATCACTGGTTATATATATTTTTCTATCTGGGGCATTATTCTTAGATGTAATAATGGATCAAAAAATTTGTTTTTATCCGAAATAATTCGCTATCACTTTAATAAATTTTAAAGTAATTTTCATATAGTTTTCATCATTCTAAACATATTTTTGGATAGTTCTTCAGTTTATAATCGGAAAAATCATAACTAAAAGTAATTTTTTACCCAATAATATTTTCCCATTAAAGAGTGCAAATCGACTATTGGCGTTTTAACCAAATCAGAAAGATAATCTTGCGCTCCAGGTATGAAACGGAGGAAATTCTGGAATAAGCTTGGCGAACGTTGGTTAACGAATGGTGTTTGATGAAGCAAACATCCACCAATCCCTGGAAAATTGCCAATAATACCTGGAACAACTGGAATACCGTCAAGAAGCGCTACTTGAGGTAATGGTTTCCGTAACCTGCAATGTAATATTTAATGAGTGCATGTATGCAAAACTAGAAAAAATCTTGAATTTACGAAATGTCTTCCGGAAAATATGAACTATGGATTGCAGCAATAGCTTTCCTTCTATGCTCTCGAAAGCTGGTTAAATTTTTTTTTGCTGGATTTCATAAAAATCGAATATACAAAAACTGTGCCTTTAGCGCCACTATTCAAAATAATAAAGAATATTCCTGACTCTTTGCAATCATAAGGAAGATTCACCTTTTATTGAACTGATTTTCCGGATTTTTCTGCAAACCTTGGATGAAACTGATAAGAGCAAAGCTCTGACTAAAAGAATACAAAGGTTACCAAAAATGTAATGCTCCTTGTTATCGCAATTAGATATTCAATGTCCATGAACATGCTTTTAAAATGATTTCATGTGCTAGTTGATTTAAAATTAAAAATTTGTTCCTATTAAATTTTTCCGCATGATAATGAAGAAAAATTGATGAGCAGATGGAATGATATCTTTCGTTTTTTGTAAGATTGCAATTACAAAACTTGGTAATCCTTTTTTCTTTAAAAGGAATTCTTATCACCTGGTAATATCATCAATTGGGATGCGATCACTCACCATACCACTTTGTCCTGTATTCATGCCAAAGAAATCCAGTAAACTGCTATATTGCGCCAAAATCGGACAACAGTACTGAATTACGAAAATTGCGCCAATGACTGTGTCTGAGTTGGACGGAAAGGTCATAATAATGTTTTGGTTACAAAGTACTATAATAAAAAGGTATTCAGTGT